AACTAGCACAAAGCAACTGTGAGTCATCAATGATGCAGGAAGACAACTCAAGTCCACTATTTATTGACAGGTGGTGCTCTATCTTAATGATCACACTATTTTAGTAAATACATTTTAGTGGATTATCACTTTATTAAATTTGACATTTTTAAAAATAATCCAAAATTCAGTTAAGAATAAGAGGATGTAATAAAATTGGGAGAAAAGAAATTTGACCCTAAATAGCAATTCTGAAAACACTAAATTAGACAAAAAAGTCTTCATGTGAAAACCAGCAATTGACCCTATATCAATTTCTCTAAGAAGTGCTGTATATCCCGAAAAAGTTTTTAAAAATTACAAAATAAATCTTCCAGAAGAAATATGCCATTACTTCCAGGAAATAGTTCTAAAATGTTATATCCCTTTGTAAACAAACCTTTTTAACATATTCTGATGAATTTCAACTCTTGTTTAGTGCCATTTGATTACAAAAAGGGATTTGGAGCTTTGATGAGATTATTAACTTTGAGAAGATGTACAAACCTTAAATGTTGCATTAGTACTGTTTTCTCCTGACAAAAAAGTTAAGATAGTTACGAAACTTCAGATCATGTCAGTGTTCTTGTTCCTGTTACCCTAAAAGATCACATAACTCAAGGGGAAAAAATGTTTTTCCCGTAAAGATAAGCAAGGTGCTTCAAATCAACACCACTGTTACTGGCCTCCATAATTCCAGTGGGACCAGTTTCTAAGAATATACCAACAATAATCTGAGTGATTTGGAAGTTCTTCACCTCATCTGAAGGAGACTGCAATCTCAAAACCAGCTTCATTTCAGTTCTTTGTTTATTTACTGACTGTCTCCTATGAGAAATGCACATCTATATACTTCTACTGGTTAACTCAATTTCTTTGCTTGGTAAAAACTTCTAACTACAGCATTCAGTATTTTAAAGAGTCTAACTCTACCCTACTTCCACTTCCACACTTATGTTGAAAAATGTTACAACTTCACTTCACATAAATCATATCTAAAACTGATTATAAATGAAAGCATACTTTAAGTACACTAGGAAAGTTTACAATTTATGTGAACCCTTCATTTTAAAAAATATTTTTAATCTGGATTTTCAAATATTAAAGCAAATGGAAGCTAACATTCTTTGACTGCCTATTTTTAGGCACTTTAATTACATTATTTCAGTTAATCCCCATAATCCTGGAGAGACTGAAGGTATTATCCCCATTTTACGGATAAGGAAAACAATTCAGATTAAAAATCTGCCTGCGACTCAGAACTGACCCCATTGACTCAACTCGTTCTATCATACTGCTTCAAATTTTCATATAGATTAACAGCAAAATAGATTAACAGCAAAAATATTGAAATCATTTGACCTGGGTACCAGTGTTAGTTGCAACACCATCCAAATAATCACAGGCCTGAAACTAAGCTATTTAAAACTCAATTTTCTCATGGGTAAAATGGGAATAACATTGGTCTTACACAGAGTTACTGGGATGACCCAATGAAATAAAATGTTTATAAAATGACATTGAGCTTGTGCCTTGTCATACAACAGTAGGTGTGAAAAAGCAAGGCATAACAGATATGAGGAGTTACACACTTTTGGACTGTTTCACTTGTTATGAGTTATAATTTTTTAGAAAGTGTAAAATAATTTGTAAATGCTACATATTTTATAAATATAAGACATCTACTATTTTATCAAACCAAACCTTCAGACTTAAAAATAGTTAAACAGCTCTAGCCAGTTTGGCTCAGTGGATAGAGCATTGGCCTGTGGACTAAAGGGTCCTGGGTTCAATTCTGATCAAGGGCATGTACCAAGGTTGCAGGCTTGATCCCTGGCCCTGGTTAGGGGGTGCATGCAGGAGGCAACCAATCCATGTGTCTCTCTCACATTGATGTTTCTGTCTCTTCCCCTTCCTTCCACTCTAAAAATCAATGGGAAAATATCCTCAGGAGAGGATTAACAAGAAATAAATAAAAAATTAAAAAATAAACAAGCCATTTTCTCTAAAAAAAAAAAAAGTTAAACAGACTGAAAAACTTCCCATTGTGAATAACATATTTTTGAAGTTAAAAGTTTCCTAACTGTTGGTTACCAGAAGTTTAAGGTAGGAAAAAAGTCCTATACTACCATAAATTTAAATAAGTACAGAAAAAATTGATAAGATGCTCCTACTTTTGTTTTCTAGTACCTTGTTCTGAGCTGCTTATAAAATTAACATAACAAGAAACTTAAAAAGTGTTTTGAAAAAAAATTTTTTGTTATACAATATGAGACAGTTTAATTTTCAGGACCCTCATAATAACAGTTTCTCATTTTTAAAAAATTATTTTAACAAAGCTTATTAAATATTTTTTAAAAATTTTTATTGATTTCAGAGAGGAAATGAGAGGGAGGGAGGGAGGGGGGGAGAGAGAGAAACATCAATGAGAGAAAGAATCATTGATTGGCAGTCTCCTGCTTGCAACCACCTGGGGATCAAGCCCGCACCCTGGGCACGTGCCCTGACAGGAATCGAACCATGACCTCCTGTTTCATAGGTCGATGCTCAACCACTGAGCCATGCCGGTTGGGCTATTAAATACTTTCTATAGCAAAACAGAAAATTTACTCTGAACATTTTCAACATTAAAAACTTGCAACCCACTTACTAAATGATTTTGCAAAAATAAACTTCTTAAAGATGAAAAAGCTGTCTTAATTTCTTAATTCTTACCCTTAATATGCTTTGAGGAAAATAGCAGGCACTTTTCCAGTTTAGATCCATGTGGACAAAGTGTTAACACAAGCAGGTAAAAGCACTAAAAAAATCTTGGATGCCTAGAGATATCTGAATCACTCCACACTAAGCTAATATTTCAGAGCTGAAGAAAAATTCTCTTTCATACACATACTGAAGGGCTTGCCACTGGTTTTTGTTAAGGCCACAAATGGAAAAACTACTGACAGAAAAAGCACAGAACGCTGTGGTATCAAGTACACTGCCAAAGTACCAAGTGAAGCAATTGAATTTTTTTTTTTAAATCACTTTTCAAGCATTTTGGCATCTGGAGTAAAAGTAGTTTTTCCCATTAGAGGTAATCCAAGTAAGGATCTTAATTTCCTCAATCAAATTTGCATAAATTACATTTTCTTGCAAAATATATAGAAATAATCTAAAGTTCCACTCCTCTTTTTTTCCTCTAGCTGTGACCAAAATACTATAAATAAAACATTCAACGGCACCTTCAACTTCTTGAACTACATACCATATAACTTAGATGACTGACTGCATATTTTTGCCACTTAAAAAACAAAATGTATTAAAGCTGCATCTCATGGCTTGAACCATGTTTAATATTCAATTATTTGTATTAAGTAAAAGTAAATATTATACCAGTAAGAATACTAAAGAACTGCAATACCTTACTAAAAAGCAAATTAAGTACATATGAAAGGAAAACACTAGCACTAAACCTTCAAACTGTAAAAACAATTCAACAATTTAATGAAAAAGTCAGTAATATAAAACTATGATTTTGTAATTAAGTTTAAGATTTAAAATCCATGAATAGCAATCCATAATTGGTAAGATGATATTCTTTTATAGCTATGACATCACTCAAGAATTGAGGTCTTAGTAATGCCTACCTTGTGGTTTATCAATTGACTACAATATATAAATTTTAAATTTTGTATGCTAAAAAGCAAGTTATAAATGCAGTAGCACGGGCTACATATATCTTAAATAAAACCTTCTTTTAAAAGCCAGTTTGATTCTGGCTGTGGGATGCTCTTGACTTAGAAGCAGGGCCATGTACGGTCTGAATGGGGTTCCAGAGCTATTGTATGTAGGTCAACTGTGATTTGATCTGGGGTTTTCTTTAGACTCCTAGCCAAACGAAGGCTGGATTCATAGGCCCAAAGAAAAATCAGAACCAGATTGGCCTTGAAGAGGATAAATGGATTGAAAAATCTGCTGAACATTTATTTTGGTATAAACCTTTAATTTCTTGGCCTTGCAAAACAGATGATCTAGATTTCTATCAGGTTTCTGTCGTCGAAAAATTGTTTTAACTAGGAGCATTATCATCTTGTTCTATGATGATTGCGATCTCTTAAAAACGAAGACATTAATTCACACAGATTAAACGAGAACACCGGGAAACAATTTATTAAAAATCCTCTAAACTTAAGTGGGAAAAGTAAGTGAGCCAAGTTCTCCTGCAAGGCATCAGGCGCGGATACCAATTTGAGTTACTGTACAAACCGACCACGTCCCAGTAGTTGCTCAGCGAACTCAGTTCCCATTCCCTTGCAAAGCAACACGAAACTCACTCCTTTATCCGTCTCCACATTTACCGCGTCCAACGTCTCAAACTATGTTAAGTCTTTCCCGTCTTTGGGCCAAAAGATAACACCGGAACCTAACGACCCCGTTAATAAGACACTGTACCGCTCAGATATTTTAGGCTTTTTCGTTCTCAATGTATCTAAAGGCCAGGTAACTTTTGTTTCCATTTAGGATTCCGGGTCCGTAAGACTCTTCGGAACAATCAATGGGAGGGAATTAGGCGAGGGTGGTACGGTACGTAGAGACGCTTATAAATGGAGAAGTAAAGGACGAGCTCACGTCCGAAAAGAGGAGGTGGGTGTCGGGAGAGTGAAGGTCGGGAGGTTAGACAGGTTGTCTAAAGCCAGACGGGGAAAGGCCAGCCTGGGGGAGAGGACAGAGCCCCTCGCCGGACGCACTGGGCGAGCTCCCATAGCGAGGGCAGGTGAGCGAGCGCGCAGGTGGGGGAGGTCAGCCCGCTCCTCTCAGGTGGGAAGAGTGAAGGGGAATCGGGGCGGGAAAAAAAACAACTCCGCACAGCAAACCTGTTGGAACCGGAGGGGGAGGGGGCGCCGAGGCACCGCGGGGAACACGCCTGGCACCGCCCGGCCCAGCTGGGCAGCGAGAGCCCCAGAAGGAAATGGCTCTGCGGGCGCCGCCGGCAAACTTACCTTTGAGTTGGGGCAGGGGCTGCAGCTCCACGGGGCTGCCCTGGCTGCGGAACTGCGACGAGCCCTGCGAGCGCTTCTGCCTCAGCGCCTTGCGCACCGATTTCCGGGTGAAGCCGTCCACTTTCTCCGAGGCCGAGATGGCGGCACTGGCAGCCCCCGCGGGCGGCGACGACGCCAACATCTCCGCCGTCCAGGC